CCCTTCACCCAGCTGTCAGCGTTCGGTATGAAGCCGAGGTCGACAAATCATAGTCGGCCAGGGTCAGAGAGCGAACGACGTGAAAAATTGCCGACACTTCCATGGAAAACTAATAACGCCCCGCCACATCAAACGCAATTCCGGGAAATCATTACGCGGGCCATAACCGCTGTAGCTTATATGGCGCGCTACGTTTAAGGCGGAGAAGATGCGGCCCTGCATCCTGGCCCGGTCGTGAGTAACGTCCCGAGTAATATTACGATGACAGTAATTGCCGCTTTGATCAATGCAGACCTGGCCGCGAGTAGGCGGCCCGTCACGCCACCGGGATTCGACGTGATCCTTTCCGGCGTCGCCGACCGTTCCTAGTCCCTCGGACGTGTTGCATGTATACGCTTATTGCGAGGAAGTGATACGAGCTATCGATTGTGCGCGCCCTTCGCGTATTCCAGTATTCAAATGTATACGAGTAGTAGCCAGTAAACGACTTTAACACGTATCTTCGGCGAATTAGCACTTATTCCTAAAGTAATGGAATGTGTAAATATTAAAAGATAGTAAAACTGGAATATTGTCAGCAGCTCGATGTCAATTAAAAATTACGATTCTCGAAAATCGTCAGTGCTATCAGGAATCGACGAATAACGCCGAGATGGCACGCTGTAACGCAGCGGCGAAGAAAAAGGAGAGACACTGAAGCGAGCGACCGTTTTCTCGAGGGTTTTATTTGCGGCGGAATAAATAAAAATTTACGAGCAATTTACAGAGGGTCCTCAGCCGCTAGGTCAGGGGGATCCATCAATTTACTCCGAAGTGCTCGTTTGGCGCGCGGGCTACAAAATCGTCGACGAAGTTCTCTTTATGAAGCTAGAATAGATTAATGCTCTCGTTTGTTCGGTAATGGCCTCGATAAATTATCTTAATAGCTTGAAGCGGCTATAAATATATTCCCCGGTTCCCGCGCTCTTACGCTTGTTTTCCCACTATATCGCGATCTCTCGGCGCGACTGTCGAACTACCATGTTTTCCGTGTCACTAATTCGAGGAGAAAATGCGTATTGCATATATCTGGAACAAAAGAATTTACTACTATCGTTGTCGGAATGGCGCAAATTATCAACGATTTATGGAATATACTTTGGTAAGATCCAAAGGGACGTTCTTTATCTTTTGGATGCGTATAATCTTTGAGAAATAAGCTATTATTTCGCTGAAACAAGGCTATAGCTTGCTCAAGGCATAATCTGTATGATCCTATCCATATTGAAAGAGAGATACTGTCAAGTTATAAATTGAGAAGAGGATACGTGTGTGTATTAACTATGAATGAATTATCTTTGCGACATCACATTACATACGACTAATATCATAAATGTTAGGAATGACGGGATGAAAGAAAGGAAAGTCGCGAGAAAGAAGTACACAGCTAAACGCAGCACGTTCTCTGGCGAATAGTCTGACCGAAAATAATCGGTTGCCATTAGCCGTGCTACACTCTACCGGAAGATCAAACGGATCCTCCATCCGTCAACGACGCGCTAATGCACACGTTTCACTGCGCCGCCTGCGCGTCGGTATTTGGCAGAAATTAGGTTGGTAATGCGTCAGCAGCCGGTGCCGAGCGAGCACTTAACGCCGTAAAGTTGTTTGATGGCACCGCTATCACCCCTAACAGTTCCTAACAGTCCGACGCGCACCTCACGCTGCGCCCCGAGAGTCTGACACTGCAACCGTGAGTTATTCACTTAATGCGGCCATTACGCGCTCCTCGATGGCGCTTCATCCTGATTTACTCGACAAGCATTTATTGCTTCTATCTCGGCTGACGATATTAAACCCTCTGCTCGCATTTCCTACGTGCGTACATTATACCTACATGGCTTGGACGGCGACGTTGAAATTGATTCGAGGTGCCAGCTTAGGTAGCATAAACAAGGGTCAGAAAATTGAGACAATCGTCACGAGACAAGGATTGCGAAAAATAATTGTGAATATTCCAAATAGGTTAAGCTATGGTCAAACTCGTTCGATAATTCAATTATATATCCGGAAAATTATTATTTCTAGGAATTTTTAAGACGTGCATTTTTTTCTCTTTCTCTTCTGTTACGAGTATTGTTGATCGATGGGTTAATGACTAAACTAAATGCTTGGTTATGGATGGTACTGAAAGAGAGAGAGAGAGAGAGAGAGAGAGAGAGAGAGAGAGAGAGAGAGAGAGAGAGAGAG